CGTTGCGCGTCTTGATCCCGCACAGAGATTGTGAGCAGGTGGAAGGGGGATGCCTTTTCTGATCTTTGCTAATGTGCTTTTATGTTCGCATCAGACACTGCTTTGCCTTGCTGCCCCTCCAGGCAGGGTTTCCCCTCCTGCTTTTTTTTCAGCAAAGGAGAAAGCTGCAAGCGCGTCTTCGGTACGGAGCTGGGAAGAAAGATGATGCAGGTCATCTCCTTCCAGTTAAATAGGATAATGATGTCTTTCTGGACAAGAAAACGGCCGCTGAGCACAGTAATTTCACTAATAACGTGCTGATTTGCATGATTAGGGGTGTAATAGCCTGACATTGCGGTGTGTTTGCAGCCGTTTGATTGACAGCCAGGTTGGTTTGTAATGTTGTTGCACACCTACCTGCAATAACAAAGTAAAAGTGTGGGTCATAAAAATAAAAGCTTATTTATTTCTATATCGCTCCGTTCATTTGGGGAATTACTATGTATTTTCCCCTCTAGCCCTGCATTCAAACCACCCACGCTGCTTTCAGATGTTGGAGGCAGTTCAGGTTTTAAATAGCTGGGAGAGACGTGGAATCTACTGAAAAATGTGTCCCGGCAGAAAATGGTAATATCCAGGAGGTTCTTCCACTTCTTGCCCCTTAAGCGTAGATCACTGCCATGCTGCAGCCCTCCCAGCACTTCAAATCTTGTAGCACTAGCCAAGGACTCTTACTCTTCGTTTTTTTCCCCAAAACAAACAATACTTGCTGTCAATAGTTTGAAGCTAAACATGCCTGTGTTTATCCAGGGTGATGTAAACCGGGTCTATGAATGAGATAAAGGAAACTTCCATGTGTAACTGTGAATGTTAATCATAGAGTTCAGTTAACAGGAGCTGAAGTTCCCTGACAGTTTTGAGGTAATGATTTAATTGAAAAGATCTTGAAAAGTATGTTTGCTGAATCATTTGAGCCAACATGTACCGCAATACTTAAGCCATTTGTTGATTTTGGACTTGTGAATAATTAATGTTCCCATCCAGGCTCCCTCTCAGTACAAATATTCCTCTGGGATGTGGCAGTATTTTTCACCACATGAAAATCTCATAATCCATACTTAGTCTTGGATCTCCACGGTAGATCACAACAAAAAATAATCGTGTTAATCCTATTTGCTATTATTTTCATCACCTAAAAGTGATTTATTTTCTGCCTCTCCAAGGTTATTGGAGTTGTTTCCTTTGCCGGTGCCACGGTGTTATTGCTGTTCCCTTTTGATGTGGGTTCAAGGGACGTGTACCTGCAATGCGCTGCTTTCTGAGGAGCTCCGAGCGTCTGTAGACCTTGGCAGACAGACAGCTGCCACTACTCTGCACCTCCCGGACGAAGCCGTGGCAGTTTTGTCATATTAATTGAAGTCTGAGTCAGTGTTGATTGTTGCATGCTTCCTTCGCATCTGCATTGGCTCCCAATCAATATTTGCATCTTTAATCCCTGCTTGTCATCTATGAAACATTGCTCGCTGCGCTGCGGAGAGGGTGTACGTGTAGACTTTTGATGCTGAGCTCTGGTTTTAGTGTACAACGTGATGGTTCTGGCATTAAAAGGAGGCTAATATGGAAAGCTTCCTGACTTATTATGTGACCACCACGTGTGTCTTGGTCTTGGCTTTAAAAACTGTCACCATTTTGTACTTCCTGAGCTGAGGTTCTTCAGAAAGGCAGGGAGGGAAGGGCTGTCTCCCTTGCAAAGTGAGCGACTTGAGCAAACGTCGCCGTGCCTTCTGCAATTGGGTAATGTCACTGCAGAGGTCCTGCGTGCCAGGTGAATGAGAATCGCAGCATTTCGTGTACGTGCCTCACATCCGTCGTCCTCTCTTCTCTTGAACTTGCTGGGTTTTTTGAGGTGTCGTTTTCTGGCGGTTTCCTGCCCTCTCAAGCGGTACAGGAGGTAAATTCATTTTCACATGCACTGCAGGGATGCTCGGCTTTTCAATCTGTTAATAAGTAGTTCTGTTCCTCAGTCACTTTATATGCTGCTCAAAAACATGTAAATCTAAACAAACACCCGTAATTACTGGATGCACTTAACAGATCTGAATTGGATTCCATGACCCAGTTGAGAACAGACCCTCCAGCAGAAAGCCAGCACCTGCCTGAGAGGAGTCAGTCACACTCCTGTGATTTTTTTGGATATTTGTTCATTAGGGTGGTGAGCAGTGACAGAGAAACCACCATCTGCCTCACCCACGTTACTGCCATCTACCAGCCTTTGGGGACAGGTCTTTGTCCGTGTCTTGACTCTGTGTCCCGTTGCTGGTGGGACGGCAGCGACTGCTCAGCTGTAGAGCAAGTGTTTCCCTGCGTTGGAAGAGGTGTTTTCTGAACGTGGTAATTCGAGCAGACAGAGTTGTTCAGTTGGAAGGGGCCTGCGGTGGTCATCCAGTCCAACTGGTGGACAGGCGGTGGACGTCGGCTGATGGTGGGAAGTTTTGTTCTGCTTCCACCTCTGCTGAATGAGTAGGAGGAGGATGTTAGTTTCTGTTAGAAAGCAAATGATAAAGAAAATACGGTTATTGAATTTACCGAGCAGTGTATGTTCTCTGCTGCAGCAGGCTGTGAGCTGAAGGCTGTGAGCTGAAGGGTGTAAGCAGTCTGCATTTGCCGTCTCCCCAGGGCGTGGATGTGTAAGAGTTTTATTTGCCCATGTTGTTAATGCGGAGCGGGCACCCTGTCTGTGCTTCTTTCCAGTACGGCGATTACGATCCCAACGTCCACAAGCGAGGCTTCTTGGCACAAGAGGAGCTGCTTCCGAAGCGGGTAAGGGGCTCGACCAAGAGCAGGAGTAGCTTTCCAAGCCTAGTGGTGTTTCGTGTAATACAGCCCTGTGCAGAAAGGGCTTCTGTGGGGTGCACCTTGCTTCGCTTTCCTTGGGATTCCTCACCAAGGCAAACAATCCAAGAAGATGTATTGAGGGAGGAAAGTTCAATCTCTTTCTGACTTACTTTAATAAAACCAGAAGCAAATGTTTTCTCTTCTCACAGTTTCATCCTGCCTGCACCTCCTCATGGTGTCCTGGGGACAGCTTGCCTGAGCTGCGTGCTCGGGAGGGTTGAGCGGGTGCTGGGCGATCAGAGGGTGCGGGGCTGTGTCCTGCTGAGGGTTGCCTGTCTTGAGGTTGGCTGTGGTGCTGGGAAGGGGGTGCTTGGGGCTGGAGTGTTTCTGGCTAAGTAGACTGTGACAAGAGCGGTGGTGTGACCTGGTCTCTGTCTCCCCCTGTATCTCAGGTAATAAACCTGTACCAGATGACTCCAGAGATGTGGGAGGAAAGGATAACGGCCTGGTATGCAGAGCACCGAGGCAGAGCGAGGTAAGCGTGGGCTGGAGTGGTGGGTCAGGGTCAGTCCCCTCGCCTGAGGAGTCACCAGGGCTTGGGGAGCTGATGGATGAGCTCCACTGACAGCAGGGTTAACCCAGCACACCTCTGCCGCAGACTCGCAAAGGGCTTTCTTTGCTCTGCGTGTGTCTTGTCCCCTGGTCACTGTTTAAGTCCTTGAGAGAGTTTAGGACTGATGCTCAGTAGGGAACCATGTGCAAAGGAGGTCAGGAAGGTGCCTTTTGGACCAGGAAAAGAAATGGGGCTTCAGAGTGATGAGCATGAGTATTGTGCCTTGGGTGGTAAATGGCTCCTTGTGGGAGTAAGCCTAAAGTCGGATGAATCTGAAACAGGAGCCTCCCAGCCAGGGATTTCCTGTGTATGCTTAAGGGACTGGGAGGCGGACAAAGCAGGGCGTGAAGTGCTGCATCTCCCTCGGCAGGCCTCAGCGGCCATTAAGATGCTGGCAAGCCACAGAGTGGGATTTGCTGTTGGTTGCTTTATTGATCCTGCCAGCAAAGACAGGCTTGACCTGTGCGATAGAGACAGTCCAGGCTTTAAAGCCTTGTGTGTGCTTAGGATGAGAAAGAGCAGCCATCCCCATCTCTCAGATCCTACCAGACACCGTAACACCAGCCTTTTTTTGTCTTGACAGAGATGAAGCTGAAATGGAGTATTTGAAGATAGCTCAGGACTTGGAGATGTACGGAGTGAACTATTTTGCGATTAGGGTGAGTGCAGGTTGTGGCTCGTGTTTTCTTGCCAGCGTAGCTCTTGTGAGAGTCTTCCTTTTTTGTGTAGCTGTGAGATTGGATGAGTGGAGCCTTGGAGAGCCCGCAGACCTGGGAGATGGCTGCGGGGCCTTGGCGAGACGCCCTGCTGCAGTGTGCTTGACTGCTAGCTGCTGGGGAGGCAGAAGCTCTTTTTGTACGCTGTGAGGGTGGGTCACTGCTCAGGGTTAATAGTGGTTCATGTTGGACCCTCCAAGTGGAATAAAAGGGTTTTCTACTCTTTTCTTTCCTCCCGTAGAATAAAAAGGGCACCGAACTGCTGCTTGGTGTTGATGCCTTGGGTCTTCACATTTATGACCCAGACAACAGGCTGACCCCCAAAATCTCCTTCCCGTGGAATGAGATCCGGAATATCTCATACAGCGATAAAGAGGTATGGATGTCTCCCCTCTTCCCTGAGAACAGTAAGAACACAATTGCAATTCTCTTAGCTTCTCTGTCTGCTGTGCTTGCTATCACCAGTGTAACTAAGGGCAGCTCAGCTTCTCCAATTGAAACCTTAATCCCAAGCCTTTCTGAAATCTTCCGGGTGTGGGCATACAAGAGGTCAGCTGGGAGCTATTCTCCTGTTTGGTTTTAGAGTATGTTCAAACCCTTTGTAATTTTTTCAGAAATCCAAAATTGCTGTTGATGTGCTTAGGCCAAATATCAGAGTTCAGAAGTTGAGATCTCTACTGTATATATTGCAGTCTCTGTTACTGTGTATGTATACAGTATTATGCAATACAGGGAGATGTATTCGTGGTGAGAAGAGCTCTTGCCATATCATTACATCATCTGGAGTTTTCGGGCTGCCAGGCTTGGCGTAACAGCTGGAATCTTTTTAGGAAGTTGAGTAATTTAAGCCTGCTATTGGATAGATATTTATTAAATCCAGAACGCAAAGATGAGTCTTCTGAGCTGCTGGCCCCCAGACCTAGTTGAGAACAGCAATGAAATTGGCTGTGGAAAGAAAACTGCCTCAATTTTCAATCCGAGAGAGCTGCTCAAAGAAACCAGCTGCTTTCATGGTGAGGAGGAAAATGAACTTCTTAATTAAAAATTGTTTTCTAATCTAAACATGATATTGATCAGGGTAAAAGCTAAAGGTTTCTCATCAGCTGCATTTATCACATGCCTTGTGAAGTTTTGTAAGTAGTAAGGCCATGCCGGAATTCTCTTCACTTGCTTTACTCATTAAAAATAAAAGGACTTCACAACTCTGCAAAACAGCCTAGCGCTCAGTGGCTTTCGAAGGCTTTCCTGTCTGTGACAGATGAGTCACAAGTCTCATAAGGAGCAGCTGAGGGAGCTGGGGCTGTTCAGCCTGGAGAAGAGAAGGCTGAGGGGAGACCTTATTGCCCTCTAGAGCTGCCTGAAAGGAGGGGGTAGCGAGGTGGGGGTCGGTCTCTTTTCCCAAGTAACAAGCGATAGGACAAGAGGAAATGGCCTCAAGTTGTACCAGGAGAGGGTTAGATTGGATATTAGGAAAAATGTTTTTACTGAAAGGGTTGTCAAGCACTGGCACGGGCTGCCCAGGGAGGTGGTGGAGTCACCATCCCTGGAGGTTTTTAGAAGACAGGTAGATGAGGTGCTCAGAGGGACACAATCTAGTGGTGGAGCTGGCAGTGTTAGGTTAGTGGTTGGACTCGATCTTAAAGGTCTTTTCTATTCTAAGCAATTCTGTGAGCGCAGTGGAAGCTGTCTGATCAGAAATCAGAAATCTGGGGACTGAAGCCTCTGTCACCAGGCCTTGACACCGGACTGTAATGGAGCTTTCTCCTGGGGAAAGGGCTGCCACCTCCCATCAGGTCAGTCAGCTGTGTAATAAGATGACCACGAGTAGACCTGACATGATAGTAAACAGGCTTAATAGCAGGGTATGGCAGCTACGTCGACACAACAGAGGGGTTTAATCCATTGTAACGAAGATTGACTGTTTACGTGGAACTGAAATTCCTCTCCTGGCTTATTTCTGCTGTTGCTTCCAATGACTGGTGGGGGTTCTGACGGAGCCTGAGTCCAGAGACATTCATGCACGTCTGCTTGTGTGAAAGTCTTAAAAGATTGGCACTTAAACTGACAAAACACTGCCAGGGCAAGTTCGCTGAGCCCTTTCCAGGCAGTGCAGTGTATTGACAAATAGACCTGCTTTAATGGACACAGACTGCCTGCTCGAGCACTATCTCTTCAGCCAGTTATTTCTGTAGCGTGTGGGGGAGTGATGGAATATATGCATGCCTTCTAAAAATGCGGTGGTGTGGAGCACTCCATCTCTTCAAGTACCCTTTGGTTAGTTCAGAGCCTTCTGTCTATCCAGGAGCTGTATTACCTAAACTCTCGAGTCTGGCAGTGCCACCCATACCCTCTGGAGACCCGCTGTGGGAAAGCTCTTCGGAGAGGGTAAACCCAGGCCATGGTTAGAGCTGTTTGGTTGGCACATGGAGTGTTAAAGACAGTTTAGAGCAAGAGAATAATACTTTGAGTGCAGAGCAGTGACACGGCTGACTTCCAGACAGCAAAATGCGTGGAAAATCCCTCTGGGGAGCCCGTGCGAGTGGAGGTGTCAACGGGAAGGAGAGCAGCTTCTCTTTCTGTGTTCCTAATGCAACCCTTCTGCCCAGCCATCGGGGAGCTGAGCTGGTTCCTTCTCCCTTCAGAAGTGCCTTGAGTTTCTGCTGTACCTTCCCTGTTCTCTACAGATACCTTGAGAGCAGCATCTTGCCTCGGGAGGTGCTCAGCTGTCTCTGCTCTCTGCAAGGTGCTCTGCAGAGGACAGCGGCTGCCGGGCATTGCAGTCCGTGGGTGGACAGCGCTTTCGTTGCTTCTGTGGCACTCGCGTTGTTGTGACCGGAGGAACAGTTGTCTCCTTGGTTGCTTTTGGTGCTAGTTCTCTCGCTTGGCTAAAAGCCATGGCGACAGCTCTCAGCCTTGTTTGTCTCACGCTGCTGACCTCCTCTGAGCCAAAGCTTTCAGCACGACCGTTACAGCTGTGTTTTTATTAAACGCACCGCTCTCTGATAACTCTCTCCCTCTTTATTTTTTCCTTTTCAGTTTACAATTAAGCCATTGGATAAAAAGATTGATGTTTTTAAATTCAATTCATCAAAGCTGCGTGTGAATAAGCTGGTAAGTCTACAGACAGAGTAATTTTTATTGCCTGCAGCAGCAGTTTCTGTTGGCAGTACGAGACAATGTTCTTTTGGGGCTTTTCCTTCAAGCAGTCAGAGGGAGCGTGCTAGCCTGTAGCTGTGATTTCGTATAGTGATTATTACTAGGTCATAGCCTCTAGAAAGAGAAGTGGAAGCTCAATTCAAGCTCCTTCACAGAATCTCTTCCCCCTCTCCTGTTTTTGTGTTCTGAGCTCTGTGGTTACAGCTGACCTGCATGGCAGAAGCACTTAGTAAGTAAAGCTTTCTTGTCACCCCCACCTTTGCTCCAGATCACCTTTCTTCCCCAGGAGATCTCTTCCATTCCATTAGATTCTCCCTGTTTTGTAACGCACTCCAACCAGTCGCTGTCTGGGCTTTTCCTAGGCTGAACCCCTCTGAGGATACTCTCCTTCAAGGATGGAGTGAGCTACGTTGAGCTGTTCTGCTTAGCATCTGTGTTGGAGCCCAGCTTCAGCTACTGTTCTGAGTTTGGGATCTGAAAGAGCTTTGATCCAGATTCTGCAGTAGCTGTGCGCTGTGTTAAGCTGCACGAGGAATCTGCAGAAAGCAGAGGGGGGGTGTTTTCCCCATCCTTGTAAGAGACTGGGGGGAATCCTTGCTGTCCTGTACTTCATGTGCCACAGGGAAGTGGGGCCTCCTGACTAAGGCCTCATTCTCTGCGCTCATCAGGTCCACAGTGCTGCAGCTGCTCTGACTCCAGAGAAGTAATTTGTGACTTGTGAAATGGAAGACTGGCACGTGAACCGATCCTTCAGAAATTATCCGAGTTTAAAAACCTGCTTTTATTGCTGAAAAGAGCTTTCACTCTTCTGTGTACCTGCCCCTTTGCTAACCCTCCTCTAGTATTTCCACCTTCCTTACCATCTTCCTTGAGTACCAGAGGAAGCCACGTTGGTGCTTGAAACCCTTCAGCAAAGGTATCTGAAGGTGTCCAAGGAAGTTTTTGATAAGCCTTCTGTGTGTAGTCTTGTCCAAGATGGAAAGTGGTTTTCCATTTATTTATTTACAATGCTTCAAACCAGCAGTTGGCAGAAGGTGCCACTTCACCTTGAACCTAAAGAAAGGGGGGAACCAGGGAACCGGCCGGAGCTGCAGAAGTCTTGTCTTTCATTATTTGGCGTAATGTGTTTTTGGAGCTGGTGTGAGACTTGCCAGAACTGTGCTGTGTTGGCTGCACAGAAAACAGAAAATTGCTCTCTGCAAAGAACTGATAGCTCAGGAGCTGGTGTTTGGTGTGGGATTTAGGCTGTGCCTTGGCTCCTTGCCCCTCGTATGGGTACAAGAGCTCATAGGTTTTGAGATCAGCGAGTGGAAGTGCTTACAAGCACTAAACCAAAGCAGTTTTAGTGTTTTTGTGTGTCAAGAATACAAACTACCTCATCGTCATCATGTGTACAGCTGTTTCTCTCCGCTCTTCACCCTTGACTGGAATAGATTCTTCAGCTGTGTATTGGAAACCATGACCTCTTCATGAGGAGGAGAAAGGCAGACTCGTTGGAGGTCCAACAGATGAAGGCACAAGCCAGGGAGGAGAAAGCCAGGAAGCAGGTGAGAGACATCTCGTGTAACTAGAGCGTAAGCCAAAATCACAAATGCAAATGAACTCGGGAAGGAGCAGTCTCCAGGATGGCATAAAACACATGGAGCAGCTTTGAGGAGCAGCCCAGCTGAACATCTTGTTTTAGTAGCCTGCTCCCACCTTGCCAGTCGTTCTCAACTTGGCTCTGTAGGTTGATAGCCTGGCAGCCCACACTCAGCCCCCGCACTCCGGAACCAAACCAGGAGGACAGGAGGGAAGAGCTGATCTGGGTGTCCTGCAAGTGTGCGCGCATCTTCCCTGCCTCCGTTTATGCTTGGGCTCCGTAGCTGTAGAGATGTAGTATGTTGGGGTAGTTGCTCGTAATTAAGGCAGGGGCTGTGAGGGGGAGCTGTGCTTTGCCGTAGTTCTTCGCCTCATTTTCTAATTACATGGTGATGGAATGCACGCCGACATTTCGGGGTGTGCAGCCTGCATGCTAATTTGGTGCTGGCCTCCTTTATCTGCCGCAGGTCAGCCCAGGCAGCGAAAACGGCTCTTCGGAGGCAGCAGCGTGTAGCCGATGAGCATATATCAGCAAATTGGATTGTATGAATCATTGTTTTCTGCTCGTAGACCTTTTCTACTCACTGAAACCCGCACAGCTAATCTGAGTACTGGTGCTGGGAATATAAATGTCCCTTTTGCAATAAAGCCGCTAGATAGCAGCAGAAGAAACCAAAGCAGTCACTTGCACACAGGAGGGTCTTACACTCAAGTTAATGGATTCAAGCATGTCCACAGAGGTGCCTGCATGGTGCTGGACTTGGTGGTGAGGTGTTCAGCTGGCCTGGAGATGTGATGTGTCTTGTCTCGCAAGCACCTCCTGAAGCAGTTCTTGCTGTAGCTTGTGGGGTGGCAGGAGAGGACAGGACAAGACATGAGTCACAATGAGGGTAACCAGACCTGCTCCTCTGGCGAAGGAGGGGCTTCTCGCTTCCCATGGGGATTCCTTCGGTCAGTAAGGAGTTGGCATTAGTGGAGCAAAAGGTCCTCCTTGGAAGGAGTAGCATGGTGTCCAAGCGCTGGTGGCTTCAGGGCGAGGTTTTACAGTCTTGTGAAGTTTTGATGCATTTGAATAACACCAGCAAGGCCTGAGATGCTGTGCTTGGTCTGCTAGGAGAGGAGAGGGGAGGGCACTGGCAGTGAGCAGAAGCTTATTGCTGTCAGCTCTCAAATCCAGAGCACTTGCGCTCTACAGGAAAGGAAGGTCAGGCTTCTGCTGGGTTGGCTGCCCTCTCCCGAGCTGGCCACTGGGCTGTCTCACCTGGTCTCCCCTCCCTCTGCAGGATTCACAGTTGTTAACTGGTTCCAGACAGTCCTTTTATATTGGGAATTCTTGTTAATGGAAGTCCTGAGTGGGATGCAGATCGTAATGATAATTAATGAGGGAAACCTTTAATAGAAGGAAGCTGAGGCGTTAGAGCAGTGGGCGTCCCGCTTTCAGCACACAGTTGGTGTCCAAGGAGCAGAGAAATGTCTTGTCGCACTTACTTCCCTTATTAAACCCAGCAGGTGGCTTGTGCAGTGCTGCGAGTCCTTGCTGTAGTGTAGATATTTATAATGCACCCATCTCTGTCGTGCTGGAGTGCTTAAACTTGGTGTGTTAATTAGCCCGATGGCTCCCTTTGGGCGCTTGGCTAGCAGAGAGGCAGTTATTGGGCACACTCTGTCTGCACAACACTGAGCATCTTCTGGGAAGAGGTGGTAGGATTCTGGTGAGTTGTCTCAGCATAGCTTGGATCTTCCCCTCCCAGAGGAGCTTTGCCATTTCCTGCAGACCGAGCTGGAGGAATGGAGTTTGTCCTATCTAGGAACTGATAGGGGTGGTCGCAGTCTTTGTGGCCTCCCCTGTAAATGAGTGGAAGTGACGTTTCCAGCATGCTGGGTTAGAAGTCTGATCAGAAGTAGCAGCTATCCGTGTCCTTCAAACTCCTGCCTTGCTGCGTGTCTGTATTTGATATTTGAAGATGCCCTCAGACTGCCCTTAAGCCCAGTCTTGTCTGTTTGACTTGCTGTAAGAAACTCCACGTGCAGCTGGGGCTCTTGGGACCCTGCTTGTCCGAGCCTGCGCTGTGAGTCAGCGTCGGAAGGCGCTGTCTGGGGACAGCTACCTGCAGGCAGCTCATGGGGCAGTGCTGTGGAGGGGTAACAGCCTGATCAGAGAGGAGTGGATTGTCTTGGGAATGGCAGTCTTCGAGGGAGCATGGTGCATCAGGTCGTCTGCATTTTGTGAAGTTCCCTGTGATGATAAGCAGAGGGGAGGCAGCAGTGCAGTCCTGTGCTCTGACCCCCACGCAGTGACCCTTTCTCATCCTATAGAAAGCCTTTCTAATCTGTTAATTCTCCTCGCTTTCCCCAATACCTTTTTCCTAGATGGAACGGCAGCGCCTAGCCCGAGAGAAGCAAATGAGAGAAGAAGCTGAGAGGACAAGGGATGAGCTGGAGAGAAGGCTGATGCAGTTAAAGGAAGAGGCAACGATGGCCAACGAGGCTCTGGTAAGTCTCTGGGAGGTTGTCTTCTGAGGAACCAGAGCTGTTCCCCACTCT